CCGGCGCTCAGGTGCCCGGAGCAGATCCGTCACCGCTGGGCGGCCCATGGCCACGCGCACGGTGCCCACCGCCTGGGACGCCTCATCCCGACGGCTGCTCGGTGGAGTCCACTCACGATTCTTTGCCATTTCTGGCCAAATTTCACAAGAGAGGCTTTCGGTCGACCTGGTGCGAGAAAAACAAAGACCTGGGAAGTTGAGTGGCGGCTCCCTCGGAGGCTGGGGACCAGGAAAGGCAGGCAGGAGGGGAAACTAGCAACCGGCACCTACTTAAAAATGTAGTTTTGTGTGCTTTTCTGTATTTTGCATGAACATTTCATTTATTTTACTATTTTTATACATTTTGCATACAGGAAATACTTGCAGAAGTCAACATGTGATGGCAGAGCTGACATCCCTGGCATTTAGAGGGTTGCAGTAGATCCCATGAGGTGCTGAAAACCCTGTTCCTTTAAGGAGGCTGGGGGACCAGATAATGCCACCTTGGCTGAGGCTGGCTCAAGTCTAGCAGGGTTGCCCATGCAGGTCACCTGGGTTTTGAGGGTGCACGGTGTCCAATACCTTCTTACAGGAAAGCAGCCAGGTCTGTCATTCCCTCTGTTGATGAGAGAAAAGAAGAACGACATCATAATATTTAAGGAGCACCGAGAACTAAGTGTATCTTATGGCAGGTTTCCATGAAGTCTTCAAAAACAATTAGGTTTCATTATGAACTCTATTTTACGGAAGAGGAGTCCGAGGCTCCCAGTGGTCCAGTACTTTCCCTGTGGGCACATTCCACTGAGTCCTGGAGGCACATTCTGGATTCACGTTTGAGGAATTGCAAATCCAAGCTGTTGAAATGCTATTGTCTGCCTTAGGAGAGCACCGTAAAGATGCCAATTAATAAGTGAACACCGTTTAATCAGGGGAGGACTGTGGTCTGACTTCCTTAATCCCCTCTGTCTAAATACATCCACAACTGGGAGATAAAGGAGCCTCCTTCCCTGGAGGAATTTCCTGTTCCCTCTCAGCCAGAAGAACTGAGCCACAGGGATGGTTTGTAGTACCAAGAGGTGAGACCCTCTGCAGCTCCCCGTGAATGTTAAACCAAGCTGAGGGCAGCCTTCTCTCCCTGGAATTCAAGGTTGGAGTTCCTGAGCCGTGGGAAGGGGGAAACTGGTAATTGGAAGGATTTTTTTTCCTTGCTTAATACTGTTGGATGTGATGCAAAACTCAGTACAAAAGATTCTTCTGATAAACATAAGCTGGCCCTTTCCACCTAAGGGATTAGCTTAAAAGTACGATAGAGATGAGTCTGCATGGCCTCAGACCCGCGGCCACCAAGTCACCATTAGCAGAACTGCTTGGAGAAGAAGAAGCCTGAGCCGCTATATGTGAGATGAGGCACCGAGGGGCTGCACGCGGAGCTTAAGCAGAGAGCGTCGCCAAACGTGGAGCTAAATAATTCAGATATGTGCCTCTAGTGAAAATCAGTTTCCTTGGCTGGAGCTTCCTGCACAGAATGGCAAAGTAAAGCATGGCGGTATTGTTTAAAGCCGTTCACTCCACCGTCCTCGCTAGACCGCTCACTTAAAATAAACCCCTTAGGAGCTGCAAAGAAAAAACAGACTATCAGGACGGGGGCTCAGTGGTAGAGCACTTGCCCAGCACGTGTGAGGCGCTGGGTTCAAGCCTCAGCACCCCATAAAAAGAAATAAATAAAGATATTGTGTCTATCTACAACTAAACAATTAAAAAAGAAAGCATACTGTGGCCTCTTAAGGTCTCGGCGACTTACACACAGTCCAGGGTCTCATCAGAGGGGTTTGAGGCAGAGAGAGAATTCATGAGATCACACACTTGAAGAGTCAAGGGTATCCGACGCTGGGTTGAAGTGGTGGCCTCAGACGCAGTCTCTCTCCTCCTGTACTGACTCTGAAGTCCAGCAGAAAAGAAAAAATTGGGACCCGATGGCAGGTTTTGGAAAGTTCTGAGATGGCAACCCATTGGTTCTAAAAGGTGCCCTGTGCCCAGCCCTGGACACACCGTGCAGCCCAGGTGGATCTGATGGACAGGCTTGTATCCTATGCCTGTCCCCATCCCCAGAGCTGGCACTTCCCAAAAGGCCACAGATCGGGAATGGGAGGGGAATGTCTCCCTGGGCTGGGGGAATGGGGGGATTGATGATAAGTGGTGAAAATCAATAGAACATCACCCAACCCAGAAAGGTCCACTGGAGCATTTGGTTACGCAGTTCAGAAATCCTAAAAAAATTCACATATAAAAATCTCTTAAAATTAATAAGTGAGTTCAGTGAGTTTGCAGGATATAACAGTGCTCTACAAAAATCAGTTCTATTTCAGTCCACGCTAGGCATTAGCAATCCATCAGTCAATTAAGGAATCAATTCCATGTACAAAGTTATCAGCAACAATAAAATACTGAGAAATAAATATAATAAAGGAAGTATGGGACTTACATCCTGAAACCTAGAAAACATCACTGGAATGCAGGACTAGCTAAGTGGAAACTTAGGTCCTGTGTATAAGTGGGAGGACTTAATAGTTTTAAGATGAAAAGTGATCGAGAGGTTTAGTGCTGTCCTCATCAAAATCCCAGGTACATTTTTTTTTGCATGAGTTAAGATGATCCTAAAATTCATATGGAAATACAAAGGACCCAGAATATCCAAAAAAGTTCATGAAAAGGGGTCTTGAAGGACTCAGACATCCCTATTTCAAAACTGACTACAAATCTACACTAATCAGGATAGTGTGACGTTGGCTCAAGTATAGACACATAGACCAGTGGGAGAAATCCACTGTCCACAAATAAACCCTGTGTTTTGTACAAAAGTATCCAGGTAATTCAGCAAGGGGAGAGGATAATCTTTTCAACATATGTATATATGCAAGCAAAAAAAAAAAGTTATAACCCCACCTATAATGTGCAAAAATTTACTTAAAATAGATCAGAGACTTAAATCTGTGAGTTAAGTTCCAAAATCCTTAGAAGAAAACAGCAATAAATCTTGGTGACATTTGATGAAGCACCAGTTTCTTAAATATGACACCAGAGCATAAAGGAGGAAAAAAAGGACAAAAATTTGATTCCATAAAAAATAAAACATTTTATGGGGTTTTTTTGGGGGGGGGTGCTGGGGATTCAACCCAGGATGGCTTAACCCTGAGCCACACCCCCCCCCCAGCCTTTTTTATTTTTTATTTGGAGACAAGATCTTGCTAAATTGCTTAGGGCCTCTCTAAGTTGCTGGGTTGGCCTTGAACTTGTGATCCTCCTACCCCAGCCTCCCGGGTCTCTGGTTGACAGGCATGTACCAAAGTGCCCAGCAAAGATGTAAAACTTTCATCCTTCAAAGGATGCCATCCAGAAAGCGCAAAGACAACTTACAGAGTGGAAGCAAGCACGTTTCCAAAAATATATCTGATGAGAGGTTTGTGTACGGAATTTATAAAGCCCTCCTACAACTCAACATTAAAAGGACAAGCCAGTTTAAAAATGAGTGAATAATCTGAATAGAATTTTCTCCAAAGAAGATACATCACGGAGCTGGGTGCAGTGATGCATGATTGTAATCTCAGTGATTTGGGAGGCTAAGGCAGGAGGATTGCAAGTTTGAGGCCAGCCTCAGCAACTTAGTGAGACCCTGCCTCAAAAGAATAGCAATAAAAAGGTACATCAATGGCCAAAAGGCACATGAAAGAAATGCTCCACATCATTCATCATTAGGGAAATGCAAATCAACATTGCAATAAGATACCATATCACACCTGCACAGATGGGTATAATAATCATAACAAGACAGTAACAAGCAGTGGAGAGGATGTATGGAAACCCGACCTCTTGCTTGGCTGGTGAGAATGTAAATGGAACAAACAGCCACTGCAAAAAGCACATTGGTAGTTCCTGAGGAGTTTAAAATACAGTTACCATGTAACCCCCAAATCCTACTCTTAGGTACATACTCAGAAAATGATTAAAAACATAACGCCCATACAAAAAACTTATTCTGGATGTTCATGACATATTAGTCACAAGAACAGTGGAAACAAATGTTCAGCCATCAATGAACCAATAAACAAATCTGGTCTATCCCCTCACTGGAATATTAGAGAACCATGAAAAGGAACACAGTCCTGATACCTCCTACAGCATGACACAGATGGGGCATGAAAGCATTTTGCTATGTGAGGGGGGCCAGAATCAAAAGGAACACATTGATCTCTTTCTAGGAAATTTCCAGAGTAGGAAGATGTGTAGAGGCAGAGACTGGATTTGTTTTGGCCAGGGGCTGGGGTGGGGGAATGAGGAGTTAATATGAATGGTAATCGGACTCCTTTTGGAGGTGAGTTCAATCTCCAGCATCAAATAGATAAATACATAAGGCGCCACCTCTTTATGAGCCTGTTCTTTAAAGCAGCACGTTGGAGCAGTGGCTTCGCTGCTTCCCGTGCTGGGTGGCTGGGATGGATGCTGCAGACGGCTTGCCCCAGGTCCTGCGTCCACGGGAGGGGAAGCCGGGTGGCATCCATGCGGACGGAGCAGCCCAGGGGTGAGATGAGAGGGTGGGTCTGCAGTTCCTGGCACCCAACAGGTGACCCAGCAGAGGAGTCTGAGCATAAAGCACACCCGGGAGCTGGACTTAAGGCTCCTCATCGCAGGGAGAAGCTGAGTGCCCGCCCGGGTGACAGGTAGCTCCTGGCCGGGGGTTAGTTGCAGGTGACATCCGTGGGGGCGGCTGCCTGCCGCAGCAGATCCCAGCTCCCGTGGCTTCCTCCCTGTCACAGCCACAGCAGGCTCCCCGTGAGAAGCCCCTGGTCCCCTGCTCCAGCTCCGCCGCCCGCCGCTGGGCCTGGAGCTGAGCGCTCAGGGCTGAGGGGGTTCAGGCGAGGGCCGGTCAGGGCGACGGAGGAGCGGGGGCCAGTCAGGGTCTGAGGACCCCACGAGGCCCCGTCTGCAGAGCATATTTATTTACTTCAGTATCTTATCGATTCCAGAATTCACCACTGATGGACGGACAACTTCCCAGGAAGGCCAAGGACACATACGGTGACCCTGGAGGCCGCTTTACTGGACTCGCCCAAAAGAGCTTCAGATCCTCTTTGACATCGGCTCTTTCTCCAGGGCCATTCCTTCGGAGTCGAGGAGACACTTCAGAGTGACCGTGGACCGCAGAGGCCCCGCAGGGTTCTCCCTGGCGGCAGCTCTCGGTGGTCTCAAGACTCGGACTCCTTGACCCCCCTCATGTTCTGCAGGTTGATGATGAAACTCGGGGTCCCACAAACACTGGGTTCCCAGCCCCTGACCCGTCCCTCCTGGCCCAGGAACCCCCCAGCGCCAGGCTCTCCCCGCTTGGCCAATCCCGCGGTTAGTGGTGCGGAGACTTTGGCTAAGCCAGCCCGGGCCCAGCCCTGACGGGGTGCGGCCCACTCATCTTCAGAACGTCCCGTCTGGCCTCCCTGCTGGGCCCTGATTGTGGCTGACAGGTACCCACTCGGTCAGTCGGAAGCTCAAGCCTGGGACCCTGAATCTTGTGAACAGTCACATGTGCAGTGACACGGTGGCACTGGGGGTCCAGAAGGCACCGGCCAGAGCTGGCGTCACTAGATGGTTCCTGGAGTGACCTCAGCTAGGTTTGGGGCTGCTGCGCCCCTCTGGGTTCTGTGGATGTCTGTGCCCAGTTGGTTGCCTGTCCTGCCCCTGGTGCCTGTGAAGGTCCCCTGTCCCGTCTCTCTGCCCGAGTGGGCCGGGTCGGTTTCTCTGTGTGCGCACGGCCTCTGGGAATCGGCTCAATCATCTGGCAAGATGCGTGGACGTGGACGTGGACGTGGCGTTTGTTTTACAAACTGTTCCCTAGAAGCAGGAGGCATGACCTGCCGGGCAGGGTCCTGGGAGGAGAACTGGGGATGGACGGGGGACAGGGGCGGAGAGGAGCTTTCCACTGGCGAATCCAGATGAGCCGCTGTGGACAGCACCAGCAGGCTCGGGGGTGAGGCCCTCCCTGGGCACCTGGCACCTCACCGACCCAGGGGTGACTGGGGCAGGTGGAGAGTGGCCCAGGTGTCGTCACGCACCCAGTAACGGAGGGGACTGGAAGCAGGGGCTCTGGGCTCAGGTCTGGTGGAATCCTTGCAGCAGCTGCACGAGGCGGTCGGTACTCAGATTCCAGGTGCCCCCGAGTGCCATCCTGGGCCTCCTCAGCAAAACAACAAAATGGTCAAGAGGGCATCAGAGCCAAGCCCAGCTCTCGCCAGTGTCTTTGCCGTCAGCCTTGTTTCCTGTGGACTCTTGCTCACTCTTGGGGTGGCCAACCAGCTCAGTTCAGCAAGGACCTTCCTGGTGTTAGCACTGACGTCCAGTGTCCCGAGAACCCTTCAGTCCCAGGCCAACCAGGATGGCCAAGCCAGGCAAGGGTCCCCTCTCCCTGCATTACAAACTCAGGGGCACTCGGCCACTGAGCCCCTCCCCCAGCCCTTTTTTGTACTTTATTTGGAGACAGGGTCTCACTGAGCTGCTGAGCGCCTCACTTTGGCTGAGGCTGGCTTTGAACTCGCCAGCCTCCTGCCTCAGCCTCCCGAGCCACTGGGATGACAGGCGTGCGCCACGGCGCCTGGCCCCCTTCGTCATCTCGAAGCAGCCCTGGCGGTACGCCCTTCTGTCTGTAAATATCCCAGAACCTCTCCCTGACACAGGTGTAGTCCCAGCGTCCCACCCCACAAGGTCCCTTCACACCCTGACACAGCCGGTGACAGTGCCAGTGTCAACCAGGGTGAGTCCGGGTGCCCGTACGTGGGCCTCGGGGACCTTGGATCTTTTCATTTGAAATTCCTCTTCCCGGTTTTTCTTTTTCTTCTCGTTTATCTATTTAAAAACCTGCTGGTCTGTCTGTCTGCCGACTTCCCCACGTTCTAGGTTTAGCCTGTGGAGCTGCAGTGTTGGGGCCGGTGTGTCCTGTGGGGTGGGGAGGAGGGAATGGCCTGTGAGCAGGCTCTGGGCAGCTCCCTACACACCAGATCCCGCTCGCTCTCTTTAGGATTCACCCAGGTCACAGGGTGGGGACCGGTCGCCCCTCAGGAAGTCCTTCTTTAGCTTTCCTGCCAGTTGCTTGTTGTGGTGGTGGTGCCTGGACCCACTCGTTTTTGGGGGTGACAGGGGTGATGTTTGAAGTCCGTCGCTTCCTCATTAGAGGCTGAGGTTTTTGTAAATGAAGGCTCTTTCCTCCTCGGCTCTTAGATCCCAGCAGAGTAGACTTTATACCAAAGTGAATCAGCTTCCACTTGGGGTCTTCGCCCTAAGATCAGTTCTCAGAAAAACAAGCTGGTGTCGTGAAAACCCACGCGGTGGGAACTGTGCAGGACTCTCGACTTCTGCCGCGTTTCATGCTGAGTCACTGCACAGATGCTCTGTGACGTGACAGTGAGCCACCTTGGGCCAGCTCCACTACGTCCTTGGGGACCTTCTTGCACCCTGGGGACCTGCCCCCCACGGATCTTGGATGACGCTCTCATCTTCAGGGACAGCATGACATTCTAGGCTCACTTTGTGTATTTCCTGTCCCAGACACGAAGGGACAAAACTTTACCCTTCTGTAGAATATGACCCGCTGACAAGGAGGACTCAGGGGACTGGATCGCCACCAGGAAACTTTCTCTCCCCCTCCCCCGGGGGCTTCCTGCTCCGCCTGCTGGGCCATGCTTTTTAGATTTTGTTTATTCGTTCTCTCTCCCCCTCCCCCTCCCTCCCTCTCTCCCTCCCCTCCCTTTTTCTCTTTCCCCCTCCCCCTCCCTCTCTCCCTCCCTCTCTCCCTTCCTCCCTTAGAGGTAGCAAGGCTCATTCACATATTGCCTATAACCAAAG